GGTACGCACTGACAGAGAGGAAGAGGAAGAGAGAGTGGGGGGAGGCGGTTATCCACTGGAGACTAAGTGTCCAGAGTTGTAGCTAGACATAAGGACTCCACGGGGTGTCACAGCAGCGCTAAGTGGCGCTGTGTGACGCGCCGGGTGGCCATCGACCGCCTATAATAATCCCTCAAGTGCAGGAAACACGAAAACCCTTGGACTTATTGCGCGCAACAGTCCAGCCAAACAAAGTCCGACCACCTATCATTGCATAAATCTTTCTTCCCTCTGCTCGAGCCCCCCGCCTCTTCCCCCGACCCTTTCTCCTCATCCGCACTCTGCCCCTGCAATTCTCCCTGAAATCAGTGACACACACACACCACCCCCCTCACCCGCCCCCATGCCAAGTCCATTTACCGTGCAGCAGCCTTAAAGCCTCTCATTCTCTCCTCTCCTTCGTCTTGTTTCTTCCCCTCCCACCACCTCTCTCCAAGTTCGGACTACACGCAATTAAGCCATCTATCAAACCTCCCCCAGACACTCCAATCAACAACGCCACACGCCAGCCGCACAAGTTTAAAAACGAGCTATCCCCCCGCCTCTGCTCCTCCATATATGAAGCAGTGATTTCGTCCCAATGTGCCACAGAGCATAAATTTCCTCTGACAAGAATAAACCACCGCAATATGTGCAAAATGTCCAGCTTGCATCTGAAACCGCGATGGCCAAAACATTCACACGGGCCCTTACATGATGTCCCCCGGCAGATAATACCCAAGCACATCAGTGTGAAACACCGACAGAAAAAAAGGCCACATTGCGTTATTTGTATTATTTCGCTCATAATTTCCTCCCAAACTGGTCCAGAGGATAACAAAAACAAACTGTCGCGGTGCCGGGCTGGGGAGAGGAGTGTGAGAGATGGAGAGGTGGTGGTCTTTACCGTGCGTGTGTGTAAGCGGGGGGTTGCTCTGAGTAAATGACTTTGACATGAGTGGAAGCAGGCTTTTTCCATCAAGCCCGGCCCTGGATACCACACACAGCGCGCCAGTGTCAGCTTACCGCCCCGGGCCAGAGTCGGTCCCATGGGCCCCACGTTCATTAGACAGAGAAAAGCGAAATTAGGCGAGCGGGCGTCGACAGTTTCCTCCCCTATGGAGACATCACACACAGATTTGTCCAACATGATGGAGTTATATATCCCATAAAGGTAATATCAACATCCGTGCTGCGACAGAGCGGAGAATATTGGGCTTTGAAGAACAAAAAAAAGAAGAAAAAGGTTTTACTTCTGGAGCTTTTAGGTTGAATTGTATGATTGTAAATCTCCCCCCTTTCTAATTTTTTTCAGTCACGTATTTGTAATATTTCAGTGTAAATTTCAGCCGACTTCAACTACTCCCCTCATTTCCACAGAACCTCGCACAAAGGGAGAAAAATAAAGCCCCACGCAATCAAACTTATAAATATCCATGTTTTCGCCTCTTTTTAATTTCCCGCTCAAGTGTGCCTGTGCACGTGTGTGCCTAAGGGCCCTTTAAAGTTTAGATATAGCCTGGAGGATATAAGCAAACAATAACCAGACACACTAACCTTTGCACTTTGCAGAACAAAGGATGTGCGGATAAAATCGTTTTCCACTGCAGTTTCGAGGACCTAAACGGCCCCAGAAATTTCCTGCGACATCAAAACTTATGACCCCTGCCGAGATCAGGATGCTTTTGCTTGGAGAGGGAATCTTTGTTCTGGGAGCGCTTTGAAGACAGCGATCCGGTTGCTTTTTTACGCGTTGATCTTATAGAGCTTCTAATTTGGTCTTCTGGAATATAAAGCTATCAGCTGCCAGCGCACAAACGAGATGTGTTTCTGTTTTTGTAGCACGGCCACGACTGGAGGCTGATATGAAGTCACTGCGGACATAATAAGGCCGTGTGTTTGTTTGCATGTTTGGACGAAGATATATGATTATCCCACAGAAAATATCAGACAGGGTTAAGAAACGGGCCTGCTCTGACCTCAGGTAACTTACAGGCCTCCTTTTTTCTTTTTGTTTTCTTTCTTTCTTTATTAAAGGATAAAATCAATTATCCTGCTTCTCAACACAATTTAGAAAAATGTATTATTTTGGACGAACATTTTGTACTTTCATTACTGATTTTATTTGTTAACTAATATAACCGAACAGCTTTAAAAAGAAAGCTTATTTCCGAATGTCACGCAAAGGCAGTGTTCACGTGTGTAACAGTTAGCTCTGTCTTGGTTGTTTTGTATGCTCCTTGTTTGTGCAACAGGCCTGAAGTAAACAATATTCATCAAGTGAAACAATAACAAATACAGATTTCAGGTCTCTCTCTCTCTTTTAAAGGTAATCTAATATTCTTTTGGCTGCTCGGCTTTTCTCCTGCCTCTCCGCCTGCGTTTCCTGTGGCGGTGCCGGGAGCTTTGGAGCTGGCTCTCCGGGACTCTAGGAGGTCAGGCGCGGTTCAGTTTGCCCGAGTGACAGACTGTTTGGACTTCCTAACATTGTGCCTGCCTTATAGTTTTGTTTCATAACACCGCGGCACCCCCCCCCCTTCCCCCCACTCCCACAGTTCTCCCTACAGAATGCGTGATGGGTGCAGAGAAGAGACGAAGGCTGAAGTGAAAAAGCAGAGAGCGTTTTCAGCCTAAGGTATGCGCCTTGGTGTCGAAGTTATTAAAAATGTAAGGGTGCTGAGATGACTGGGGCCACGTGACAGGCTCTGAGAGCGACAGGTGTGCTGTTCCGGTGTTTCACCTGCAGGTTGCAGCATTGTCCATAGAAACAGGAACGAATCTCACCTGTCACCTGTCTCAGCTGCTGAGTGAGCCCTGTAAACACACACCTGCCCCCGTACTGCCAGCTCAGTACAGGGGCCACGAGCATATGAGCTACTGCACGGCTAACTTAGACTATACACTTAACTATATAAAATATTTTATTTTATTTATGTTGTATTTATTTGTTTGTTAGTTCGTTTATTCCTCAAGATGCACGTAACAAAAATAGCTACGTGAGATATTCAGGTTTTTTTCTTGAGTACAGTCAAAGTAACTTACATTTAAGAAATTCCAAAACTCTTATCACTTTATAATTTGGTTGCCCTGAACATCTCTAAAACAGAATTGATCCACTATGTTGTTTTTTCTACCCCACAATGAAATGTTGCAGTTTTGCTATCTAAAGAAAGTTTAGTGCACTACAGTCTTCAATAAATCACTGACACTAGGAACTCTTATATTGTGAAATGTGTCACCAGGCTTTGTGTCAGAACTGTGTATCTTTACTTACAGCTACAGTTAAACACAGCAGAGTGTGTAAACCGAAAACCGAAACTTTCTGTTTTGTATTTGATGGTACAACAAACAGATAAACCCAGAATGACAGAGTGAGAGAAAAAAAATAAATCAGTTGGATTTTTATTTCTGAACAACTAGTGCTAATCAAGAAAAGAAAAATTATTATTACAGCTTAATTTGAGACACTTTTACTGAGTTTGGGCTAAAAGCGTCGACGGACTGATCAATTATTTTGTCTGAGCTCAAGCGTGATTTTTTTTTTTTTGTGATCAACACCTCGTTAGGAAACCCGCGGCCCCGAGTCTCTGGGTCCGTTTCAGGACCGAGGAGAGCAAGTATAGGCTCCTGCATGGGGACACGGACAACAAACAGCCCGCGTGTTTTTAAAGATCCTGATATGCGTGTAAATCTCAATGTGGTCACAGAACATAAATCATAAATGGCCTTTTGTAGATGGAACAAAACAATTAATTGAAGAAAAATAAATAAATAAATAAATAAATAAATAAATAAATAAAAAGCATAATTCTCCTTCTGTTGTTCGGTTTAGTTATTTATGGATTTGTTTGTTTGCTGAACTTTTATGCAGTGTAAATAATACCAGTAGATTATTTTAAACGTTGTTTCATTGAGCCGTGTTGCTCGTTTATGGGAAACTTAAGATGGCTATTACAAATAAAATAAGTACAGAAAAGTAGGCTTTTTAAAAAGGTCTTTTATTTTGATACTTTCTTGTGGGTGGAAAATAAAACCCTTCTTGATTAGGGTTGAAGTCTGTCTGTGAGGCAGATCTGGCACATTTGTTTGCAATGTAATGTGAGACGTTATGTTGTTACATGACAAACTCCTCACCGCTGCGGAGGTATTTTCTTCCATTTGGACTGAGTACAATAAATAAAGTAAATGGAAAATAATACGAATAAGCACCATCATCACAAAAGCATTTCATATGTAACATTTATTAACGATGGCTGACTTCTATTTTGCCATTTTACTAAGTAAATACTCGCTAATATTTACAAGTTTGGATAAACGTGTCGCACTAAACGCGACATCGTCCAAAGAGCCTGAAGGCACCAGACTCAACATAACCTTTGATTGTAAATATTTTATATAATTATATATCTTTTGACTTTGGTAATTTTTGTAATTATGGTTTCATTTTCAAACGAAAATAAGACCAACTTATTTTCCTTTTTGGCTCTAACAAGAGAAACCACAACAAATACCTACAGCAGGTGTGAGGCCCTCCCTCTCCCTCCACCACATATTCATGCACCTGCTTCTGATCTAACAGCTGCCTTCCCCCCCTTTCATGTCAGCAGTGAATAACTCAGTGAACACCAGGGTCCCATTGTTTCACGTGTTTTGTTTATTCATAAAAAATAACAGGCATGCACCAATCAATCAATCAAACAATCAAACAATCAATCTCAGGAAAACGGCACATTTTTCCATGCGTTTCTTAGTGCAGCCACGTGATTCCTAACGCAGCCCAGTCAATAATATTATACAATATTTATACAGCAGGTCATACAAAACATGAAAATATAAATAAAGTGATACTTTTAACAGTTTTGACGTGGCACTTTGCTGCCGTCCTACAGTAGAAATGACCAATGAACCATAGATACGAATATGAATACTCTCTCTCTCTCTCTCTCTC